TAACCCTCGTCCGTTTGGTCTCCCCTGCCGAGGGCTTCCATATGGTTGGGCTTTTATTTATTTATATATTTTTGCATTTATTTTATTTTATTGATATTTTTGTATATTTATCTTTTCATTTTCATTAATAATTATTTATTTATATTGATTAAAACTACTTTTACGGACTTTATCGCGTTTTATTTATATTAATTTTAATACCCAACGTTTCGGGTGCTTTCCAACACTCATGGTCACGGGGGACTGAGGTGACTAACGTCCCGATGTCAAAGTTAACCCGGAGTACCTTCAGCTTTTTAATTATTGTTTTTGGTCCGATCGACGCAGAATGAACTAATTGTATTTTGAAGTCTTGCAGTGGCATGCTTGGGTTTAGTTTTAATTTTATTAATTATAGGATCCCAAGCAGGTGGTAGTACCCCGCCTCCTTGTCTATTGAAATAGGATGTTTTTTAATTTCAATAGCCTCACGTATCATCCTTTGTAAGAATCGATGTTCTTTCGCGAGGATTTGTGGTCTATCAAATCTGATGTAATGGTTGGGGCCATCTAGAATATGATCGCAAACTGCAGACTTCCCGGAACGTTGATGCTTCACGTCAGCTATGTGTTCTTTTACGCGGGTTCTAATTGATCTCTTTGTTTGCCCTATATATGAGAGACCACAATCACAATCAAGCTTGTACACTCCTGCATCTTGTAGAGGAATATGACACTTGACGGATGGTAAGAACTGACTAATCTTCTTCGGCGGCTTGTAGAATGTTCTAATAGAAGCTCGCTTCAAGATGTAGCCAATCTTGTCTGTGACACCTCTGAAATATGGTAGTATAGCAGGCACACGCTCGACTGTGGCCGGCTTCACTCGGTCACTGTGACGGAGGCGCGGGACCCGAAGCTTGTTGTAGTGCAGAACCTGCTTGACGTGCTGAAGCTCGGCGGGCGTTAGGTTTGTGTATTTTTGGTAACCCATACAACTTGAGAGGTTTTTCACACGAAGGTATTATCGAATTGACGTCTAGATTAAATTTGTCGGAGTATTTCTTAATTAGATCGCTAGTTGTTTTAAGCGTATTAGTTGTAGGGTCTGTTTTGACCTTACGGAAAGTACATACCGTAAGGCTCCATTACGTCCAATAGTGAGTCAAATCGATTCGCGAACGTACAGATTGGCTCAACACTTAGCCCAAATATTATCACCACTCAAAGGACACACAAGAGCACATACTAAGGATTCATACCATTTTGTCAGTGAGATAAAAGAGGCTAGTGATCGGACCAAAAACAATAATTAAAAAGCTGAAGGTACTCCGGGTTAACTTTGACATCGGGACGTCAGTCACCTCAGTCCCCCGTGACCATGGGTGCTGGAAAGCACCCGAAACGTCGGGTATTAAAATTAATATAAATAAAATGCGATAAAATCCGTAAAAGTAGTTTTAATCAATGTATAGTGTTCGCGTAAATATAAGAAATCATTATTTATTTATAGATCCCAACCAGATGAGAAAACTATATAGATACCCCCCATAATAATAATTAAACTTATTTCAGACCCACATATAGTCCACAATATGTTAGTAATTTAGCTTAACCTATGTTAGTCTTAAATTATTACACGTACAATTTTCATAACAATTATTTTTTTTATTTTTGGCACCCCATGACACCAGGCACACGCAAGTGCATACGCATCCAGTGCCCTAGAATGGGAAAATCAAATCTATCAGATATTGCCCTCAGAATGCCATTAGAGCTCCCACGAACCCTGCGCATGAGGGATGCTATTCTCTTTCGAATTATGGCATGAAAACCGTCCGTACCGTACGCTGTAAACATCCTTGAAACGCTACAATACCGCGGAAAGCCCATCAGCATCCTGATGGTATTATTATATTGTACCCGAAGGGCATTGTAGGCTCTCTGCGTCTACTTAACCCATAGACTGCACGTGTAAAATGACTGGCAAAAGGCTTTGAAAAGTGTTACCTTAACTACTTCTGTACAGCGTGCAAAGCTACGGGACAGCATGTTACAGCGAACAGCCAATGCCCTTTTTTCCCTTACCTATGTCCGCATCATCAGTCAGATCCTCAGTTAAAAGGTCACGCCAAGATACCTAAATTGATACACTCTATTTAACTGTACGTTCCTTAATTTAACAGGTGGAATCGTTTCAATTTTTGATCCAGCTCGAAATAACAACATTTCACTTTTGTACATTATAAATGAGACCGTGAGTCTCAGCATAAGTATCACAAATATTAAGTAATGTCCTCAGTACGTTAATCGATGGGCTCAGCAACACCATGTCGTCTGCATAGCTTATGCTGTTAACAAAATGCCCATCAATTGAGCAGCCGACACCAGCGTTGCTGAGCTCAACGATTAACTGGTTAATGTACAAGTTGAAGAGCGCTGGTGATGTTAGGCCACCCACCGCACTCTAACCTGTACTCGTTGGACAGTGCCTCTGTCCATCTGACCTGATTTATTTGATGGCCATACCAGTATTTAAATATTTCAATCAACTCGCTTGGTAAGGCCACTTCACGCAGCTTCTTCCACAGAATATCATAATTAACTAGGTCAAATGCCTTTGACAGATCCAGGAAGGCAGCGTAAATTGGTGTTTTCCTATTGTTATAGTACCTAACAGTATGCTTGAGTGTTAATATTGCACTCTCAGTGGAGAGACTCGTTTTAAATCCGAACTGAGCACCATGTCATTTTAGATATCCACTGAGATGCCGCTCAAGCAGACTGTCAAGCACCTTATCCATGATGTAGTAGCTGATGAGATAGATAATGGGCCTATAGTTCTCTCTGTCAGATATATCTCCAGTTTTATTTTTTACTATAGGCACAACAATAGTTCTCATCAGCTGCTCAGGAAGATAGGAATGTCTCATGCAAAGGGTGTAGAAGGTAGCTCGAAGCCTGGAGAGATGAGGCCCTGCATGCAGAAGATGCTCATTGCTGAGGCCATCATACCCTGGCGATTCACCCTTCGTCATATTTTTAATTACGTCGAAAACTTCATTCGGCGTAAAGCTAATTGGCACGCCCGAGCCCGTCTGGCCGTCCTCAACATCTGACACTATCCGCGACGAAATGTTCGGTGATTTTACTCTAAAATGCTTCTTAAATAAATTTGCTATCTCTCCTGGCTCATTCACCCCCCTCAATACTCACCGGGATACTCGGCTTACGAATTCATCTTTGTGGTTTGTTTCCAAAAAAAATTTAAAGTCTTTGTTTTTATGCTTTTCAACTAACATGTCCATTTTAATTTGATATTCATTATTTTGAAAAAATTTAAATTTCTGTTTAAATAACTTTTATGATTCATACATTTCTTTACACAATTTACCACCAATAGGTTTGCCATGCCACACCCAATTTATAAATTTTTGCCTAGCATCCCGGTGAGCATCCCTAACATGTTAATTCCAGCCAAAAATACGAACGCCCTTCCGACACTTTCCCTTATTATAACTAAATATCTCCTCTGACAATGATGCAACAATTTTATTATACATTACATCTATAGATTTTTTATGATTAAGGTTCTATTACAGCAAGGTTTAGAAGTATATTCATTTTAAGTATTAATATCTCTCAATTTTTTTAAACAAAGATCATGGTATGTTGCAATTTGACCTTCATCTCTATGTCCCCAAACTACCTTGTTTATGCCTTACCCTATTTTGCGATTCAAATTTAGGTCTGACCATCGACAGGTCACACTGTATCTCCAGTGGGAAGTGATCCGACCAATAAATGTCGTAGTGTATATCCACATCGATCACCACACTTCAGGCGGCATTGGTGACGACGACACAATGATCTAGCCAACGCCTGCTACCGTGCGCCTCACTTATAAAAGTATAGGTATCTGAGTTTTCACCTAATTTCGACATATAAGCACACAACTAATTTTGATCGAAACAAAAGCTAATTAATTCCTTACCGAAACGTTCTCCAGGATGTGCTTTAAAGTCCCCTAAGATAAAAACAGATTCTGCATTTTGATTTTCAACAATCGCCGCAATTTCACTCAGTCACTAAATTCTAACAAATTTTCAGAACAATCCGTTGACATATAAACACTAAATATAAGCAAAGAGCTGTTTCCTATATTTAATTGATACGATATGCTCACTTTTGCACAAAATAACGGAGACCGATCTAAAGACACTCTTTCACCATAAAAGAGCAACTCCACCGTACGGTCGACCGTATAGGATTCCTGCCGATGTATCTATCGCCGACTTACCGAAGAAACGGAAACCCTGATTTACATTGCCGAGACTCGGTATTTCGTGAGGGAGTAGCCAGGTCTCCTGTAATGCTATAATATTGGCCGTTTTACATAGTGACAACACATTCTATGGATCTTTTCAACGACTTACAGTTAAAGCTCAAAAACTTGGCAGGAACTCCATTCAACCGGCTGCCCATTTTTTTTTCTCAAACTATTTTTTCTTTCTTTTATATATTATTCCTTTTTTGCCTTTTCCTTTTTTTATTTATATTTTGTTTACTTGCTTTTTATTTGCCGCTCTCACGCCTTGGAGCGTTATCATTTCTTTTGTAGAAAGTTACAAATCTTCGGAACGACACACTTTGAGGCCATATATTTTCGTCCATAAAAACGGACAACTTATGTTTCGGAATAAGGAACTTATAGGCTTTGCATTCTTTTTTCTGCCTCATGTTCACTCTCTCCAAAGCAACATCCACGCTTGTTTTGCTCATAATATATTTACTTATGTCTTCGACAGAAGCATTTTTGTCAACATTATAAATGTAAAACGGAATTTTAACATCCGCCGCCTTGAAACCGCAATCCAACTCTAGATCTGCTTTTCCCTTTTTCGCCATAAAACGATTTCGCAGCCGTCTTCTTTGCAAAAGAATCCATTCATCCTTTGGTGCTTCTGGTTTCCATTGACCACTCTCGCGCACCACATCGGAAAACCTTTTACGTCCCGAGCTCATTGTTGTTTCATGTTTTTTACTCGCACTGTTTTCGTTAATTGGCGTAGGCTCGAAGTGCATAGGCGCAGGCGCAGCGGTGTTAGCACAATGTAGCCAACATTCGTCAAAACCACGGTGAGGGCTTCCACTTGCGACCCGCTGTTCACTGGAGAACTCGCCTCGCAGCGATGTACAGTTAGTGGTGCGACCGAGACAGGAATATCGCGTGAGAATGGGACAGGGACGTCCTTATCAGCGCAAACCAGTTCATTGACCTCGCTTATAGCGCTTGTTGACCCGCTGTGTATATGCGTTAAACCAATTGGGCTGCTATCTACATTCAAACTGTTGTTTAGTAAATACTCGCGTCTTCTATTGTTCATATTTTCATTTATTTCTAAAAACGGAACTCTTTCTTCCAACATTTCTAGTCACATACTTCTCTTTTATAATTTTCATGTCATTTTTCAAAGTAATGATATCCTTTAGCAGCCTTGTCACGTCTATGTGATCAAAAGTAACCGGTGGTAATTCTTGTAGGTCTTTTTAAATAAATATGGGCATTTTTTCTGGGTCCGTCCTTTTAATTATACTAATAATATCTTCGATATCACGCTGCATCTTTCCTTCTTTCTTGCACGTAATCTTTCGGCTCGTGGTAGTAATAGATTCAAAAAGTAAATTTTTCGCTTGTACCACTTCCTCACTCGAAAACGAAGTAGCACACAGACGTATAATGCTTTCTTCATCCATAACATCTGCCTTGTTTTGAATGAAGGCCAATAACTCAGAAATCACAATATTGCAATTATTACATTTCACTGTATTAGAGGCCATTGCCCCGCCCTCGATTATTAGCGATCGCTTTGTTCTACGTCCGAACACACGCGCGCGCTGAAGCAGACTTATAAGGGGTGTCTCAGTAAGGGTGCACTTTTTCATTTTAAAATAAAAACAAGTATTTTATGACAGAGTTGTGATATTTTTATTGTATTGTAAGGAAGACAGGTTCCGATTAAGTATGGAATAAAATATCCGGCAAATGACCCCCACGGCTCCGATGACAGGCCATTACTCTTTTCATGAAGTTTTCCATGACTTCCATGACATCAGCACAGAGATGTGGCTGTATCTCACCGATGACGTGTTGGATTTCCGATTTGAGCTCAGGAATTGTTTCGGGTTTATTCGCATAAACCCGTGATTTCACAAAACCCCAAAGAAAAAAATCGCATGGCGTTAAATCGCACGATCTTGGTGGCCAGTTGACATCAGAGTTTCGTTAATGTGTTCTGGAAATAGTTGCTGTAATAAGTCGATTGTTTCATGCGCGGTGTGGCAGGTTGCGCCGTCCTGCTGAAACCACATGTTGTCCAGATCCATGCCATCCAGTTGAGGCCACAAGAAGTCTGTTACCATATTCCTATAACGAATGCCGTTCACAGTCACTGCAATTTTGGCCTCATTTTCAAAAAAGTAAGGTCCAATCACGCCGCCTGACCAAAATCCGCACCAGGCAGTTACTCGTTGTGGGTGAATTTGTTTCTCATGGATTGCATGAGGATTTTCTGAGTCCTAAATTCGACAATTTTGTGTATTCACGAAGCCATCCATATGGAAATGCGCTTCATCGGAGAAAATGACTTTTTCCGAAAAATTGGTATCGACTTCACTTTGCTCCATTACCCATTGAATGAATTGCCGGTGCTTTCCGTGGTCTGCTGGTTTGAGCTCCTGAGTCAACTGAATCGTGTACGCATGAAGATGGAGGTCTTTAGTCAAAATTCGCTGCGTAGTGCTTCGTGAAATTTGAAGTTGTTGAGAACGATGTCGAATTGATATTTTCGGGTTTTAGGCAACACTCTCGTTTACAGCAGCAATGTTTTCAAGAGACCGACCGGTACGTTGACGCAAAGGATTCTTATTATCCATAATTGACCCAGTTTCTTCAAATTTTTTAACCACTCTTCGAATGGTTGACACATTAGGTGCACTTTCTCGGCTGAAAATTTGGCGAAGTTTGCGAGCGGTTTCAGCGTAACTTTCCCCATTTTTGTAATGAGTTTTCACAATTATAACACGTTGTTCTTTCGAAAACCTCTCCATTTTTAATAATGGGAATAAACAGAGATGACAGCTGTCAAATTTCAGAGTTGCCACTTGCATGAAAAAAAAATATTCCAATTTTAAAAAGTGCACTCTTACTGAGACACTCGATATATTCCATAGTGCGGTGTTTTCTTAAAAAAACATTGGCAGTTAAAAAATCTCCACGAATCACGGGAAAAATTAGCACACATAATTTTATTTAAATTATTGCTTTTTTTTGAAAATTGTACAGAAGTTGTAGAACCATATATTATAAAATATTTTTCGTAGTAACTTACAAGCAGCTTTTAACATTTCTAAGAATTGAACTAACTTGTTAAATATCAAAGGACATAAAAGTTTGCCTTCTTGCAACACTGTGATTTTAATGTGGAAATTGTCAGTGTTTCAATGTCAACTTTGTTTACACAACATCTTGCTTACAAAAAAAATATTAATTTACTAAAAAAATACGTGGTAGATATTTTTGATCTAAGATACTTACCTTAAGCCCGTTTTCGAGCTGCATTAAGTAAGTACAACCTACAACACCTTTTTTGAATCTATAGTTGTTTGTTGACTGATTTGTTTAGATACTATGTAATTTTTACATTTTGAATATTTACTTATATGTATGTTTTAGGCGTAAGCGTACATACATCACGCGTAACGAGTGGACCATTTTTGTTTACTAGAAATTTTACCTGCCTTCAAGGCAAGGGAAATTTAAAAAAAAAGATAAAAAACGAGAAAGTAGCTTACGGGCTCAACCAGCTCCTCCAGTCAAGATGTCAGAGCAGTGGATAACAGTTAAGTTTCTATCAAAGAATTTTCCAGAGATAAATAATAATAATTTATTATATAGGTATGGAGAAGCAGGGCCGGCAGTAAAGTAGCAAAGTTAAGAAAAGAAAAGGTAAAGACTGGCAATAGAGGCACCACCATTAATTTTCTGACTGCGGCAGAATTGTGTCGCTCTTAGGTGTAGAGTACATATTTGGCAGCAACTGCTCTGACTGTGTCAGATGAATAAGTGAGTTCATATATACACACATATATATATATATATATATACAAATCGATATACCTAATGAAACTTCATAACATTATTTTTTTCTGATAGATTTTTGTTAAGGTCAATGGCAATTTTTGAGTTTGAGTAGGAAAATGATGCAGAAAAGAAAAAATACTGAAGTACTATCAAAAATATTTTAGTACCACATTCACCTTCAATATGCTAACGGTATTGAGTCATTAAGTCTAATGTAACGAGTATAAAATATTATTTTATTAGATTTAGGTTAACTGAAAATTTAATTAAATCAAAATAAGATACATAAACATATAATAATCAAAAGACATAATTCACACTTAATTAATTAAGGGTGACAAATGAGCATACAGTCCATCTAATAGTAAGTGGATGCTGTGACCCATATACATCAACTTTTATCCGCGATTAGGAATCAGAACCCAGATGCGTTGTCGCCCCCTAAGGACTAAGATGGAAAGCCTCAGTTCCAGTTAAAAAAGTGTCTTTGGATCTACACTCACCATACGAAACACAGCAGTATTAAGTGAGAGCGTGGTCCTTCCCCGGTCGAGCCGACTCATTCGTGCTACAACCATAATATAGCTGCAGCGTGGTCGCATGACGCGCACGCTTGACCTCCAGTTCGTCTCGTATGGTTATTTTTCTCGCTCATCGCAGACGCAAGACGCGTCGCGCCAGCGTGGCACACGACAAGGCGATAGAGGAAGCAATTGTGCTTGCGCATACACTTGGGCATCATACACCGTTCGTATTACTTTTCAATAGCCTTGTTGTCCGGCTAGGCCTTAGTATTTTCATAATTCGGCTCTAAGCCTTAAAATATAAATATTTTTTTCTTATCCATAATTTCATGTTCCCTTTTTTAAATAAGATTAATAATAACCGATTTCTCAGTAATGTAGCAAAATTAAACACTAATTTTTTCTTCAATAATATTCACAGAAAGTTACAAAAAAAAAAATAGATAAAAAATACGTGTGGTACTCGGTGATTGCCGCGGTAAAGCTATTGCATAGCATTTTTTATCAACTTATGCAATTATATATATACTTTGAAAGATGAAGAATGTGGTTTAAGAATGGGCGAGTTAACCGTCAAATGCCTTTTGTATGCCGATGATCAAGTCATATTTGCGTCATCAGCGGCTGAGTTGCAAATGATGGTTACATTAATGAACTGGGAATTAAAAGAAAGGGGAATGAAAGTGAACGCAAGTAAGACGAAAGTGTTGGTTTTTGAAAGAGAAGAAAGCAAAACGGTATGTGAAATAAGAATAGAAGGAGAGTTAATTGAGCAAGTGGATGAGTTTGTGTTTTTTTTTTTTTTTTTTTTTTTTTATAGGATAGGGTGACAAACGAGCACACAGTCCACCTGATGGTAAGTGGTTGCTGTGGCCCATAGACATCTACATCTATCCTCGAATACGAATCAAAATGCAGATGCGTTGTCACCCGTGAGGACTAAGATGGAATGCCTCGTTTCCAGTAAAAAGGGTCACCGGTTCTCTACACTCACCATACGAAATACAGCAGCATTAAGCTACTATTTCACGCTGGTATTCTATGTGTATTTGGGATGTGTATTTAGCAGGGATGGTAGATATGATAGGGATATAGAACGACGAGTAAATGCAGGGAATAGAGTGAATGGGGCACTACACTCTATTATGAAGAACCAGAATGTGTCAAAACAGGCACGTATGGTAATTCATAATGCTGTGTTAGTCCCTACGTTAATGTATGGTAGTGAAAGCTGGGTGTGGCAGAAGAAGCACGAAAGTAGAATAAATGCTGTAGAAATGCGTTCTTTAAGAAATATGCTAGGGTTTAATCTGAATGACAGGGTGAGAAATTGCGTGATAAGAGATAAATGTGGTATGCAAGATGATGTTGTGACCAGGATTAAGAAAGGAATGCTTCGGTGGTTTGGTCACGTAGAAAGAATGAATGATGAAAGAGTGACAAAGCAAATTTATATGGCAGATGTGAACGGCCGAGTCGGGAAGGGACGCCCTAGAAAAAAGTTTGTCGACCAAATTGGCGATATTTTGAAAATGGGCCACGTTAGAAGTACCCTTAACCGACGAGCATGTATGCGTAGATATATGGATGTAAAGGAGGCGAAAGAGGTATGTCAGGATCGTGCCAAATGGAAGTCCGTAATCTCTGCCTACCCCTCTGGGTGACAGGCGTGAGTGTTTATGTATGTATTTATTTTATTTATGCAGTTAAGTCTTTGATA